TATCTATCTGTCTATCTATTCATCTATTTATCTGTACATAGACATATCTATGTGTCTTCTCCCAGTTCATTTCTCCTTTTCTCCCCACGCTACTTCATCCACTTCTCTCTCTCTCTCATTTTTTTTTTTTACTCCTCACGAAACGTCACTCTTAAAATTCTATCCCATCAATGGAGTCTGACTGCTACTCCATTCACTCGCGCTAGACAGTCAACTCTCGAGTGTTCTCTCCACGTCACTCACACACATAATATCTGCTCAACCCTTTGGCACACTCGGCCGCCGAACCCTCATGAGGACGAGGGCTTTGGGGTTATAACTTCCTCTCCGCGAGTGCAGATTGTGTGGCCTCTGGATTCCGTGTCTTCTGTGGCGCTTTATTGGTTTGGGAAGTGTCCGTCGGCAGAGCGCTTCGGGATTCATTTATTTTCGTGCCTTATTTTATGATTTATTGTTATCATTTTTATTTCTGGATGTATTGGGGTGTGTTAAGTGTGGCAGGTCCCGTGGGATCGAGCAACAGGCTGGTGTTAGGGCAAGGCCGCTGCCCCCAACGCAAGGGCTCGTGAAGTGTTGGTACAGCGGCGCCACGACCACCAGCTGCACGTGACGGGACGCTCTGACAATATTGTGACTCCTTTCTCCCTCTCTTTCTTTCTCTCTCTCGCTCTTTCTCTCTTTCTCTCCTCCCCCCTTATATTCTCTCCCCCTCTCGGCCCTCGCTCCCCTCTCCCTCGGCGCGGATCGAGCCTAAAGGGTGAATAATTATCCTCCATGGACAGGAAAATATTGTTTGTGTAAACAGTGCTTCAGATGAAGAGTCGCGTCGGACTGGGAATGATCCCTCAGCTTTTCATCAGTTATGGGATTGCGTTGTTTACTGTGGTCTTTATCCTTTATCTTCGCATTTTCTTTTTTCTAGTTCGAAATTTCTTTTTTTCTTTTTGTTTTCCCTCTCTGACGCTTTTCCTTTCTTGGTGTTGTTTTTTTCTTCATTATCCGTCCCTTTTGTTCAGCTACTATAAGTATATATTTATTTCTATGAATTCATCGCCTCTCTTCCTCCATTTCCCACTTCTCTTTCTTCGTTTCCTCTCCCCCTGGCCGCCTCCCTTCCTCCTCCCTCCCTCTCCCACCGGCTTCCCCCCTTCCCACCGTCCCCTCCCGCCCCCTGCCGTGCGACCGTTAAGAGAGCATCTCCCTGCCTCGTTGCCTTGTCAGCCCAGCATCCCTTACCCTGTAATTACGCGAGGCAGATGACCGGGCGCTTTCAACGTGGCGGATCGCACGCTCGCTCCGATGATTATTTATGACTGTAATTGCTCCGCGAGATTTCAAAATGGCTGGTCGTCCTGAGCGCTGGCGTCCGGCCGGGCTCTGTGCCGCCGCGGCGCTCCTTCGTCCGTCGCAGGAGGGGGGGGGGGCGAAGGGATGGGAAAAGGGGAGGGGAGAGGGAAGGGGAGAGGAGAGAGAAGATGAAGGAGGAGGGGATGGAGAGAGGGCGAAAAGGGAGGAGGAGGGGGGGGACGGACGGGGGAAAGAGGGAGGGCTCGTGTGTGTCTCTCCGCTGGCGATGGCAGCTCAGGACGGAGTTTGCGCCACGCCTCCGCTGACAGCAGAATAGTCGCGGGTAAGTGGCTGGGCTTGAACCCGGGTCATGTTACGTGGTCGCCGCTTTTATCTGCTTCCCCGCCGGGACGCCGCTGGTTAGCCCCGCGGGGATCCTCGGGGACAAGGACGAAGGGCCTGGCTGTACCCAGAACGAATTTTAAAGAAGGAATAAGCGCCGCCGTGTTTGTTGTGTCACTTACCTGGGGGCGCTTCGCCACGCCGGGGCTTTGAGCAGGACACCTGAAGGGTTCGCTTTTTCCCAGCCGCGTCGCTCAATGCGGCAGAGGAGTGTCCGCGCTGGAGCACAGGCAAGGACCGCGGCGTCTCGTGGGCAGCCAGAGGACGGCGAAGGAGCGGCTGAGGCGTTCTCTTGGGCCGTCACCACGTGGCTCTGAAGGAGGTGACTTCGAGCCTTCGATGTGACGGGATTTTAGAAGGGGAGGCCTTGGGGTGGCGGGGAGGGGAGGGGGTGGCACACAAGAGAGCAGCGACGCGCGTATTATCCCATAATTACTATGTTCCTCAAGAGTTGACCCCCTCCCCTCCCCCCTCCCCCATCCACCCCAAACCACCTAGCTCCTCCTCGGCCAGCTGGCTTCGGATTACATCTCGGTGTCGAGGATTCTCTTCCCAGAGTTACATCTCTCCGGCGTCTTAATAGGCCTTTTACGCGAAGATACCCTGAGAAAAATAAAAGTTTTGATGGTCAGACTGATTCTAGAAGACTCTAAGATTTCTTATCATAATGGGTTTTATTTCCCGCATGTTGTAGGATACATATATCTATATCTATATATTTATCTATATATACATCTATCTATCTATCTATATATGTTTCTGTTTCTGCTTTGCAAAAGACGTGCAAAGGGAACTAACAAGTCTCCTTCTCGTCCTTTCAGCCGTGCAGCATGAACGAGGTCCCCGTAATTCCACGCTTCGCCGCCAGATGTCTCTGTACTTCAAGGAGGCAGGATCGGACTCGCCCCCACCCCCACCACGCCCACGAAGCACCACGCCCCCAGAGCCCGCCCACACTCGCTCCTCCCCGCCCGTCATCAGCCACATGCCGCCCATATCGGTGAGCGCCCACCTTCCCCTGCCGTTCCCTCCGCCGCCGCCGCCGCCCATCCACGCCGCCCTCGATCTCAAGATTGGCGTCACACCTCGACACCTTCCCGCCACGCCCACCACCACCGCCCATTCCGACCTCCCGCGCCCGCCGCCCCCGGAGATCTCGGCACTCACGCTTGACAGGATGCACGCCCTCACCACCCGCACCACCACGCTCCTCGCGCCCACGCCCAAGGTAGGGACAGTTGCTTTTAACCGCAGTTCCTTCGTTTCCTTACATTTTCGCCATCAACATTTCCTTTCCCCGCCATTAGTGCAGGAATCAATCTCCATAACATTCTTAAAATCATAAGAATACCGAAACCGTAATACAATAAGGATCATATCCCCGAATATTTTCTCTTTCTCCTCGCCCTAAAAGCCCTCTCTCCATCCCTTCCTCAGTATCCTCACGAACTGGCGGTCCCCATCGTGAGTTCGCCGGATACGGTGTGCGAGACGGCGGCGAGACTCCTCTTCATGAACGTCCGCTGGGCCAAGCACCTCCCCGCCTACACCGCCTTGCCGTTCAGGGATCAGGTATGTAAAGATCGACTCGTGGTGTTTTGGGGTTTCGTTACGCTGTTTTTTTTTTTTTGTCTTTGTTATTATATTATTTTTTTTTTTTTTTTTTTTTGGGGGGGGGTTGTTATTTGTTTATTTATTCTAGGGATGTTTATGATTTGGATTTTTATTTATCGATTTTTTCCCTTTTTATAATAATGATCTCTATTATTTTCAGTTGATGCTCTTGGAGGAAGGTTGGCGGGAGCTCTTTGTCCTTTCCGCCGCTCAGTTCCTCTTGCCAGTGGAGGCCGGACCTCTGCTGGCCTCGTCTGGCCTCAGCGGAGAGTCCTCGGAGCGCCTGCTGCCCATCCTGCAGGATATCAAGCTCTTCCAAGACATTCTTACCAAGTTCAAGGCCATGTGTGTGGACCCTACTGAGTACGCGTGTCTGAAAGCAATCGTTCTCTTCAAGACAGGTGAGAAAATGTGCTTTTAACTATTTGTATACACATACTGTGTGTGTGTGTGTGTGTGTGTGTGTGTGTGTGTGTGTGTGTGTGTGTGTGTGTGTGTGTGTGTGTGTGTGTGTGTGTGTGTGTTTGCACCAGCGGTGTTGCATATTATATAATCATAATCACTGTCCGAATTAGATATATTAGACAAAATATTTAACCGGTGTGTTCGCCTTCTCGCAGTGTGGGAGAACGCAAGCAGTGACGTGAAGGGCCTGCGCGACTTGGGTGCGGTGGCTGCTCTCCAAGACCAAGCTCAGCTCACACTCAACAAGTACATCACCACAGCTTACCCGACCCAGCCCTTCAGGTGAGTCTCGTGGTGCCCCCCCCTTCCCCTCTCTCTCTCTCTCTCTCTCTCTCTCCTCTCTCTCTCTCTCTCTCTCTCTCTCTCTCTCTCTCTCTCTCTCTCTCTCTCTCTCTCTCTCTCTCTCTCTCCATCTCTTCATCTCTCCATCTCTCTTTCAGAAATAATGATATTAAATAGATAGCATTCTGACATTCCTGCAGTCAAATCTCGAATAGTTTTGCGCCATAACCTACGACCCACAACCTCCGCAACGACAACGGGATATTAACAACCCCCCCCCCCTCTCCTCCTGCAGATTCGGAAAGCTGCTCCTGCTGCTGCCTTCGCTCCGGGCCGTGGGCTCCCGCACCATCGAGGAGCTCTTCTTCAGGAGGACCATCGGCGCCATCCCCATCGAGCGAATCATCTGCGACATGTACAAGACGGCGGACTTCTGAGAGGAATGAAACGAAGACGGACAGATAAACCTTAGAATCTTTATTTTTAGCGACAAAAGCGGTTTAATTAAAGTTGTATATAGACTTGGAGAGAAAGTTATTATGTGATGAGATAGAAGATCGGACCTAATAATTGTGATATCACGCGAGAATCATTTAGAAGGATCATAAATTCACTGTAAGATAAGTTCCCCCCATCACCAGTGACCCAGCCTTTATTGCACAAGATTGATACTCACCGGCAAAAAGCGCCATGCAAATTAGGTTTTAGATGTACATTTCCATTTATTATTACATTCTTCTTCCATCCTGTATCCTCTCTTCGACCCATCTATCCCTTTCTTTGAATGACGAGAATCAAAACAGAATCACCCAGTGAGACATAGCGTACATAGTGATAAATCCACCCTTATGTAGCCTAGGAGATTGTTGACGCATCTGTACATAGATCTTAATCGCCGACCGACGACGCTGCGCCGCGAGGGATTCTCGGCAGCGACACTGTACATATCA